CAGCAACTTTTGATTTGAAATTGAGATCCTAGAATGCTGTTTTTCTCTGAATATACAGCTGAAGCTGAGCTGAAACTTCATCAGGTTAGTTGTTCAGTATCCTTCATTGGATTTTGAACACTTTTGTTGCTTCAAACAAACAAAATGCACAAATTACAAATGATGGACTATATCTTTAACAAAATTCCTCCAACACAGGAGACCCTTCAGGTGCCTGTCCACTGGAGCATTCCACTTTTGTGTCTGTTGCTTATTTAGGCCGAAAATTTAATGTTGGTATACCTATAATGGGAACAAGACAGACTGAAATGTACTTTGTCTACCATCCTTCTGTCCCTACGATTAGAAGTTTTGAAGTAACCGAATACAACATATGGCTCATATTGGGTGGCTACTGCATAAAGTGCTTGCTTCTTGCCAATGTGGCCCGGGTTTGATTCCCAGCTCGGACCATAATGTGAGTAGAAACCTAGAATTGTATGTTGATTCTCTCCTGTGCCACAAGGTGTTTTCTCGGAGCTCTCTGGTTTTCCTCCCTCCGCAAAAATCAACAATTTCCATCTCTGGCTGCTCTGCTCCGTGGTCAGACACAGATCATATGGGGGCAGCCTTAGGCACCTTTACATGCCTTCAGCTGGACCACTTTGTGGCCGTGTCCTTCGCAATTCAGCTTCTCAGCTGCGAGTAAGGATGATTAACCCCCAAATTATTATTTGTATTATTATAATTGACTCGGGCATGATTCACTCAACTTAACTCAACCGTAAAGAACTGAGTGCTTTATAGGCAAAGCTAAAATTTGGAAAAGGAATATGCTGAACAGAAAAATTGTATCTGTGAACTGGTCATTTCTTACATTTTCAAATGACCCATAAAAAACAACTTTTTGGTGCATTTATATTGAACTCTTTCAGTGCCCGCGAAATTTGAAAAGTTTAACCCTAAAGCGCCCAACTTCGAGCGTTTTTGTTAATTGTTCAAAATTCTGTAAAAAAAAAAGTAAATAAGTTTTACTCACTAAATTTGTTGTTGTTACTCTCTGGTATATCCTTGATATATTTGAAAGTCAAAAGTAGTCACAAACATAGTGATACACCCTGAAACACTGGCCTGAACACAGGGAGATTCCGCACTTTTTGCAGAAAATACGAGATTTAGTGCTGCGCCCTCTCTCAAGAACTCGAATGAAAAAATAAATACAGGTCGTACATGCATGAAAATGGTACCATTAGAAAGAGCAAGAGCGCCCCCTTTTGATAACATATTTACTCTACCTCGTACATGTACGAGGTTTGGCAATTTTAAGTACGAACATTTACGAACATTACCTCGTACATGTACGAGGTTGGCGCTATTGGACTAACAAATATACCTCGTACATGTACGAGTTTGGCACTGAAAGAGTTAACTCAAGAAACAGTATTGCCAAATTAAACTACTAGTATACTAGTAAACTGTACTACACATGTGTAGCCGCTGAATATAAAACTGTTTGCGTTCTATTTTTGAACACGGGTTGAAACAGAATCAGCACACATGCAGAGCAAATAAGAGCCATGGACCGTGGCTAGCTGTAACCGTCTCAATCACGTTCACGCCAAGATGTCAGGGCTCTGTGTACACACAAGTGCAAGTTCAAACAATCCTTCAGATGTTCGGTATGTAGGTCATTAGAGTCACCCCAAACTTCACCTGGGCCGTCAGGCAGGTTTACACAGCGACATTTATTGTGAGATTTCTCAAAACGTCTTGTGAAAAGGGGTGTGGTCAATGCTGCGCCAAGACCTTGTCTGTTGGGAGGGCTCACAAGTATGTTCAACAGGGTGGTAATTTGCTTTTTGTTGGGGGGGGGGGGGGCTTTTACCTCATCTAACAACAGAGGGCGCTGAAAGTGCATACCATCCATGGCTGCATTTTAGTCTCCATTTCCCATTTTTTTTTGGGGGGGGGCAATAGATTTAAGATTATAAACTTACAATATACCAGTAGGCTATAAAGGCTCATCCTTTTCGCTTTGTTTTTTTCTTTTCTTTTCATTTTCTCCTTTTTGGGTGGGGGGGGGGGGGGGAGTGGGTGATGGGGGAGTGGGTGATGGGGGGGAGTGGGGCCTCAAATGCCCAAGGGCCCCCCAAAATTAAGTTTGTCACCGGGTACTGTCATCTTGATTATTGGGCACTGAACAATCACAGAAGTATACGCTGCCCTTAAGTCATAAACTGAAACTATGTATCCTCACGACTTTACCTTTTTTCTTTTCTGAAGGAGGGAGCTGGGGGGGGGGGGGGTTTAATATATTAATTTCATTTCCCTAACTACATGTACCGGTATGCTCATTCCAACAAGATTCTGTGTATTCAAACTGGCTGGGGGCAATAAAGCAATGGATCCATCGGAGAAGAACACGTCATGCAGTTTGTACATAAAGTCAGCAGAGAACACTGCATGGTGCATCACAAATGATCCTGGTCGTGCTGAGATGTTGGAGCAGTGTGAAATCACAACTGACCATCTGTGCCCTAATCACCCAGCACACTGCCAATAAAACAGACTGTGTACCTTAATTATGTACACATGTCCGCATTATTGTACATACAGTACAACCATTCATCTAATGCAGCATGTTTCAGACATGTAAATGTATGTACCAGTTCGTAGACAAATTTAATAAATGCCGAACAGTAGAACACATGTCGGTATTTTGGCCTTCTGTGCAGTTCAGTGTTCCATGTAGAGTACCGAAGTGAATACATACATGTGTGCAAAAGGCATCAGCGCGTGATTCAGCCCATAAACCAACACACGCGCGTACTCCACTCGTTTGCACTACACTTTCTGGTTCTAAATGACGTCACACTTTGGTATGTACATGTATGTAAATACCTGCGACAGTTTACCCATTCCTATTGGTCGAAAGCCCGTCACATGGGTAGTCTTAAACTGCCATTCAAATACCAGTCAGTGACGTTTCAGACCGGTTTCAAAGCCTTCACTCAACCCCCGGCATTCATATCACACGTACCCCCCCCCCATTTCCTGAAAGCTAGATCCGCCCCTAAAGTCTGCAGTTTGACCTCAATTTGTTGGCCCAATTAGCAAGTAACGGTACATATGGCCAGTCAATTACCGTTCTTTTACAAACAGAAATAGAGTGCAAAGGGTATTTACTTATTTACTCGTTGGTCGAGAACCGAGCGCGTGATGTGCCACAACCACACCACAACCATGTACATGTATGGTGTCAGGGTACACCCCTTGGTACAAGAGTGATGTAACCCACAGGGTGTACATTACCTTGATCGTAAAAATGGTAAAGATTTTTCCCTCTTTTTCTGAATAACTGTTATAAACCATTTTTGATGCTTCCGGAAAATCTATAAAAGAGTTTGTTTACCCAATTTGGAAGCTTTCTAAAGCACAGTTTCAGAGCATCCTTCCTAACAAACACCTCCCACTCTTGCTCCCTCCCCACCCCTCAGTCCTCTCTCCATCCCTACCCCTCCCCCAAATGTTTCATCTTGAATGACAGCTCGAGTTCGAAAGAAAAATGTTGAAAAGTTCACATGTACCGGTAGTCTAAATATTCCACTCGGTAATCGACAAGGGTCACATTATGACAACCTCATGAATTGGATACCACGAGAAGATGTGTCTGTTATTAGGCACAGGCTAAATTCCAAGAAAAGAAGTATCATCATTTACCAAACCCCCCCCCCCAACTCCCCCAAAAATAATTAAGATGCCCTAGCTAATCCGGCAAATTAAGTTTCAAGGATCAAGATGGCAAAAATTTGCCAGAACTGATGGGACCCAGCTCACAGACAAGGGCAGGACGACACCTGAGGACGATTCGGCCAAGATTCCTGCACGACTTGCGAACCGACACGTTAATGCCCCTCAGCTGTTCCTGTGACATCCTTCTCCGATGTCATCACGCGGGTTTTTATTAGAGAAACGTTGGATGGTATTTTAAAATGTCGTGTAGCAATTACAGTAGCAAAGCTGTTTACAATAAATGTTTTATCACTGGGCATTTCCGTGCAAGTGCCTTGTAGCAAAGGGCATCATTTATTATGCAGCCTTGCACTGGGAGGGAATGTGAATACATACATAAATGTATCGACTCCCGTTAATAAGAACTCCACCGAGACCTAACCAAAATGTTTGTCATAAGAATTTTGCATTAAATGGAGCACCAGTCCTATCCATTGTGCACTTAAACATACAATTGGGACAGAGGTTTTTTTGTTCACTACATGTATAGCAGGAATTTTGTTATAACAGAGATTCTTTTAATAAGAGTTGACTGTACAATGGTCACTCTCTAAAATGAGCGTCCAAAGTGTGATTTTTTCCTGTCCCTGTAATACATTGGTACATGTACATGTACCCTTCGCACTTTTGTAATTTGCCATTCAAGTGTCATACATGACACTTAGTACCACGTAGTTTGCTATTCATAATCACTCTTGGAGGACGTACAACTGCATTAAGGAGTGCATCAGAAAATCACAGATGTCAGATGTAACAGGGACAGGGCAAAAAGGGACCAAATGTATAGAACCCCACACAGGTTTCAAATGTTAAGCAGAGATCTACATGTATCTGCATGAGAAACTTGTATCTCCTTTAATCTTTGTTAACACTATAGTATACAATATACAAATTGCTAAGTTAAAGTCATCTATGTCCTCTTGTTACAATACATGCATGTACATACTGTAAAACATTGCTACTGCACAGAACGAACCTAGCCCCATAACAATACCACCCAAAAACAAAATCCAATGAAATTATCAATCCAAAGTTGGAATTTATAAAAAGATCAGAAATACAGCATATATATGTTTCACACCGCATTATTGCCATCAATTCTTTAAAATATACATGTATGCATCTATAATATTTATGGGGCTTCATGTACATGTAAGAACAAGCTAATTTAGTTCAAGATGGAAACAAATTGTGGAATTACATGTACATGTACATGTACCAGTACATACCTTTTTATCCAGGTTGTTCGCTCTGAAAGACAGAATAAGTGCATCATTGTTCTCAGCTATTTCTTCAGCAGTAACCTAAGGGGAGTAAATGACAAAAAATGCACATTATTGATCATACAATATGTTTCAAGAATTAAAATTTGTTTTGTTGTGTATTCTTCATCAAGGTTTTCCACTAACTTCAAATTTCTTTAGATTTCATTAGATATTTAAAGGTTGAGTATATCATTTGTCATTTGTGCATATTTTCGTCTGAAGCAACAAAACTGCTCAAAATCTAAAGATAGGTGCTTAACAACTAACCTGATGAAATTTTAGCTTAGTGAATGCGGTGCATTCCAAGAAAACAATATTCTAGGATCTCAATTTCAATTCAATAGTTGCCAAGTCATGTTTTGAACTGCGCCTGAAATCAGCGTCTGTGACACGTTCTCATTCAGTGATTGCAGCTACGTGATGTCAAGCGCTGAACTGACATATAAAAACAAATGCGGGGGTTTGCATCATGTCAACGCTTGCGCACACCCATTCACAGGGAGTTTATTGCCATTACTATCGTTAATACCAAGTTACTTTTCTAATAATAATTTTGTCAGTTACTTTTGGATAACTTAAATGATGTACTTTTAACATTGGCTTCTACATGTATGTACCTGAAATGGTTGACAGCCACAGACAATCCCGTTTGTGAACAAAGACAGGCCATACATTGTACTTTTATCAAATAACACTTCGCATAATTCCAATAAATCTTGTTCCAGCAAACATCAAATAAACCAGTAGAAAGGCAGTTCTGTTCATTCTTTAGTAGACACACCCAATAAATGTATTGCAAGGGGTTGTACTGCAATATGTTTGGTCTGTACATGTACTACAATTACTGAGTTTTCTTTATCAGTTTTGATGTGCTTTGATTTTTGCTTGTATAGGCCTATGTGTCCACGGTAAAGAGTTTTCGTCCAGTTCTGTCAACCTTTTCAAATTATGTATCAACTTGTTCAAAGTATTCTGTTGACATGTTTCTCATTTGATTTTTTGCCCCTTTCTAACAAATGTTTTGGACCACAAGCAATCGATGTAGCCTATATGTGACAGCAAAAGTTTGCCTCTGAATAAGAGTTGTGACATTAGGGAGACATTGAAATGTCTCCTTAAATCTACCATGTCTCCTTTAACCACTTCGCGCCGGGATTATTTTTGCCGAAAATTTAGATTTTTGCAAAAGGCAAAATTTTCCAGCCAACTTCTGATATACAGCCAAATGCCACAAATACTGGGACTCGCAAGAGTCATCTCAACAACATTTGTACGATATTTCTTGCTGAAACTTTGTATGTTTTAATACTCCGAGGTGTGCACAAAAGTAATTGTAGAACAATAGGCCGTGCACAACGGCCAATTCAAGATCAACACACCGTCCGCCTCCACAGACTTCACAGATTTGTAAGTGTGTACAAAAGACACGATGGATTGTTAAGACGTTACCCAGAGGCGAGTCGAGGCAATCTTGACATTTTAACCCATCAGCCGTGCCTGTACCGGTATATACCGGTAAAAACCACCAGTGCATGGTATCACGTCCTCCGACGCGAACTGGTTAAGGGTACATTTACAGGAATTAAAACTACTTTAAACTGACTTGCAAACTTATTGAATTGCCAAAAGCAATTGAAAAAAAAATACATACTTTATGTCACTCAAGATACGGTAACTCAACAACTCTTCCCAGAACACATGAAATATGTGTAAAAGCAATATACAGAACTTGTTTACAATAACAGGGAAAGGTTACTCAGTAATCATACAGCACCGACCAATGAAAAACATAAATAAATACAGCCAGCGGTAAACCCTCAGTGTTTTTTTTAATAGATACAGGGTCTGCTCTTGTGATTAATGGCGGATGTCAAGGGCTTGACTGGCCCCATCAATCAAGGCTGGCATCAGACACCAAATGTAACTGGTTAAGCCACCCGTAAATTGGGGTGGGGGTTGGGGAAGTGACCACTTCAAGGGCAAGGTTGATTGAGGGGGGGGGGGGCGGGGTAAGTTAAGACAATTATTACTAGCTGTTTCAGCAATTCAGCCAAAACAGCTCTTGTTTTCGTTAAGATTTTTTTCCTTCTTTTTTATTTCCCTTTCTTTTCTTCCCCCATTTTCTTTTTCAGGCTCTTCTCCATAGAATTTGTATATGTTTTTCTTCTACCAATGGATACACTATGGCACTTTGGTAAGTCTGATGAACTTCAAACTTGGCAGACACTTAGACCCCCACCCGAAGCTGTATGCCGTAGATTTTCATCCGGTTATCCTATATTTTTTTTTAAACCGAATAACAGTTATCTGATTCACCGGAAGTTCTCATTCAGTTCACAGTCATGCCAACAAAAAATGAAGAGTGAGATGCCACATGGAATGCGGTCCGGAATGAATATTTCGCAGGATTGAATCACTGGGCCTTAACAAAAAAACACTTGAGAGCTGTAATGTTGAAAAAAATGGGTGGGAACTCTCTAATCAGACAAATGGGCAGGTTATTCATGAACCAAGAAAACAGCTAGTAGCAAGTGAATTGTAGTTACAATCAGAGACCATGGAGCAAATTGGGTCATATTCCAGATGTTTTCTTTAGCTTGTGTAACACACAAAATGGAAGGCTTTATAATTGTTTCCAGGTTGGTTTTGAATATCCAGTTTCCAAAATCTAAACCAAATAGTGGAATTCAAATCGAATTTTCAAAAATCCGGTTAATCCCACCACTACTCGGTTGAATGGTAAAACTCTCATTAAAAATTCCTCCACCTTGGCAAGAGCTTAGAGTTAGAATGATATAGCACACTAATAGATTCCTGGCTTGCTGAATCACCGGCCCTAGTCCATTAATGTTTGTCATAAACATCTGGCTACATTTATGATGGCACATGTTGACAGTATAGCATCCAGAGCCGACAGCAAGTCATGGTAAAAAATATCTGATGTGCTGTATGCATAAACGTGCACATACTGGACAAGCACAGCAGGTTGACATTACCACATAATGTGATCAATGTGCAGACAGCGTGGGCCATTACAAACAAAACGTTCTTCAGAATGTTCCTGAGAAAAAGGTTAAATGTTCACCAGGACGGAATGGCGTACGTGTACTCTTTGGAGTATGGAATATACATTATACCGTACATATGTATACTATGTACCAATATGTATTTTGATATCATGTGCTTGGATACTGCAATTTCATTGGTCAAGAACGGCCACACGTCCAGTCTGTAAAAATGCATACAATGGTAAAATCACACTTGTACTGAGATAATAATAATAATAATAATTTGGGAGGCTAATCATCCTTACTCGCAGCTGGTATGCTGAATTGCGAAGGACGCGGCTACAACGTGGTCGGGCCGCTGGCACGTAAAGGTGCCTTTGGCTGCCGGCCACATCGACCAATATACCGGTATGACCACAGAGCACAGCCTGAGTTCGAAAGTGTTTGATTTTTCCGGAGGGAGAAAAACCGGAGGGCCCGGCCGGAGAAAAACCCTCATGGCCGGAGAAAAACCCTCATGGCACAGGAGAGAACCAACGCACAACTCTATACTCACATGCGATCCGCGGCCAGGATTCGGACCGTGGTCACCTTGGTGAGAGGCGAGCGCTTTACGCACAAGCCACCCATGCCACCCTTATGAGAACTGCATGCAATGCGCCGGCATAAAGGCCACACGGTCTCATGTCCGGCAGGGATTAGCCTACAGTTGTTAACCCTAACCTTCCCAAATTCTCCAAAATCCTCTTTGCAAAATGGAGGATTTTGCAGGATTGAGGCTATGGCAAAAAATGTGCGGCTGATTTTGGAATGCACTGTGTCAGTTCTTGGGCTGGACCTTGTGTTGTTTATGCTCAGGTGTGCATAAAGTTAGACCTATAGATTATACTTGAAATCTTCCGTACTGCTCCAGGATGTCACTGGCTCTGTCTTAACTTATTGACAGTGATTGCTGGAGGTTTTTGCAGGATTGAGGCAGTCACCCCTCCAAGGACCACATTCAAGAAATAACAAAGGATTTTGCAGGATTGAGGCTGTATAGCAAGTTTTACATGGAGGCAGTTGGAGGATTTTGCAGGATTGAGGTTGCATCCTAGCAAAAATGCCTCTGAGGGAGGTACCGGTACATGTACAATTAGGGTTAGGGGTAATAAACCGCAAGGATTTAATTTATTTCTTACATAGTTTCAACCATTTATCGTTTGGACTTATTGGCACGAGCGATATACAAAATACAAATGTAATTTTGTTAACTGTAGTCTGTTATTGAAATACCGGTAGGAAGTCAAAGCATGAGTTACATCTACATTGTAAATACATTCACATCTACATTGTAAATACATTCACAAAAACACCAATTTATGGTTTAATCCGTTTTGTATGACATTTTGATCACTATCTTGTTGGCAGTTTAATTTGGGAGCTGATCTAAGTTCATTTTTTTCATCATGCATCTTCTTCTTTTTTTTAGGTTAATTTCCCCTGAGGATGCGTCTGTCGTCAAGACGCAAATTTACGCACGGATGACTGGCAAACACAAACAAGTGGAGACTAGGAGACCAAAAAAAAAGAAAAAAAAGAGAGCTCTGAGAAAATGGCAGTGAAGAAAAAAATGCAGCCGGATGATGCGATCTAAATGTTGTTTTTTTGGTAACAGAAATTTGGATTTTACTTTGACGACTGGACAATTAAAAAAAAGAAGACTTTTGGGTTTGTCCACTTTTAGTCCACGACCAAATTTCGACTAGCACAAAAAAAAAGGAGAATTTGCATTCTGCAAGTGACTTTCAACCCATTTTTCTGCTAGTGGTAATTTCAGTAAGTTGTCCACCATGGAGTCGTCAAAGTAAACATCCCAATTTCTGCTAGTAGAAAAATTGAATTTCGTGGAAACATGTATATTAGTACCCACCATCCTATCCAGTGGTGCTAATATGACAGCTCATAGCCTTGAATCACAAACGCAAACCTAAAGCTTTGTGGGTATTTTATTGCCATGATCAATGCAGGTATACGTGTATACATGTACAGAATGAGTAAAAAACAAAGCGGAACCCAAACCCAAAGAAATATATTTCATATTTAAAAAAATACGTAGCACCAAAAATAATAATGACTGGTATGCCAATTTAATAAACTACTTTTAGATTAGAAAATTACTTCAATTGCTCAACCCGTTCAAATTATATCACCATTTAAACGATATGACCCTAAAATCTGTTTCGTCCAAAATGCAATTTAAAGAATTGTCGTTACAATTGTGTACAAACATCACCAGCAATAAAAACCTCAGTTTAAATTTAAAAATATTCAACAAACTCATTTTGAAGGCCCGTCTTTAAATAAAAATGGATTTTATAAATCATATTGTAAGCCAAAGCAGGGTTGTTAATAAAAATATAGTGTACCACAGTAATAACTGTTAGTTGAAACAAGTATTCTACACGTACCGTTTGTCATTTTCTTTGTTGTTCAAAACAGTCAGAACACACAATAAATTGGGGCTTTTTTGGACGAAAATGATTTTAGGGTCATTTCATTTAAATGGTGATATAATTTGAATGGATTGAGCAATTGATGTAACTTTTTCATATAAGAGTAGTTTATTAAATGGTCTTACCTTTCATAATTAGTTTTGGTGCTACATATCTTTTAAAATTTCTTTGGGTTTGGGTTCCGCTTTTTTTTAACTCACCCTGTATATTCCACGCACATGCATTTCGAATTTGTTGAGCTGTGGATCTTGGGTCATCAATTAAACAGAGTCTATCTAAGGAGAGCTCAAAGAACTAAGTCAGCAGCGTACCCTTGAGTAGGGCCTTGGGCATGAACAACGCGTGACTAAACGACTGGCTTATGGCTTGGTTGAGTGATTGTCTGGTTTGGATGTCCGGTTTGGATGACCGGTTGATTGACGAATGAGTGATTGAATCCTTGAGGTTGAGGGATATGCTGCTTGGAATCTACTTGAAGTCGAATGAATTTACCGTAAAATTGATTTGAAATTTTGATCATTACTTATTGTGGGGCAGGGGGTTTCTTTTTGTTAGGGCCGGTGTCATGAAAATCAGACTGCTATGAAATTTGGACTCCAAAACCCTCTCACGCGACCGGTCACTCTCCTCAGTGCATTGTACAATACTACCAATACGTCAGTATTCTACAAAGTCCTAAATTCGTGCTACACCGATTCACACTTAATAAGCGAATGGGAATGCGGAGTCAGGTTTGGTGCAGCGGTTCTTTTCTCGCCTTCCACCACTGTGACCAGGGTTCGATTCCTGCCCTGGCCAACATGTGGATTGGGTTTTCAGTCCCTGCAGCCTCAGATTCTATGGGTTTTCCACAGAATACTCCTCTGGGTTTTTCCTCCCGCTTCTAAAAGGGTAATTTCTTCTGGTTGTCTTCTCTCTACAGATTTCTTCAGGCTTGCGAGCTACAGTGCCTAGGGCGCTTTTGAGGACTCCTTGGTTTCATTAACGGAAATAAATAACAATAATAATAATAATAACAATTTGACGACAGCAATCACTGGCAGCAAAATTCACTGGAATTGAAAGGTGTCCAACTTTTCCAAAAGTTGCAGTGCAAACAACATTGCCATGATGTTACAAATTTGCATTCGCGTTATTGAGCCGAGTTTGAATGGGCCTTCTTTCTGATTGTACACAATAAACATATATTGTACACAGTTGAAATAAGTAACATTACATTTTTGTATAACACACTGTTACTGGTAAATTATGGCACTTGTGCTGAATAGACTTAATGTTCGAATATTTAAAGCTAGAGTCCATCATTTGCAGCCATCCGAAAAGTAACTGGCATAATTATTGTTGAAAAACATACTTGGTTGAAAGATAGTAAGGGAACTATTAACTCCCTGTGACATTATTCTTTCTGAGAAGCTGTCATTTTGAAGTAATCAACGAAAGAAGGCATTTCCAACGGTGATTCTTAAGAAGCACCGTAGGAAAATGTTAATTAGTAGTTCGTTTTGTTATTCAGCGCAGAGCGTACAAGTATTGGAACGACACACACGCGCGCGCGGTTGTTGTAATTCGTCGGATCAGTGCGGGACGTCGCGTATAGCTGCAATTCAAAACAATTCAAAACATGATTCAGTAACTTTTGATTTGAAATTGAGATCTTAGAATGCTGTTTTTCTCGGAATGTACAGCTGAAGCTTAGCTGAAACTTCATCAGGTTAGTTGCTCAGTATCCTTCATTAGATTTTGAACTCTTTTGTTGCTTCAAACGAACAAAATGCACAAATTACAAATGATGGACTGTAGCTTTAATCATCACCTGCCATAGATCCCAATAGCATCTTGTCAATTCAAATATTTACTCAAATGTGAGCGGTTTCAAGGAGATGATAAACAATGAGGCTATTTGAATACAATGTAAAATGTTTGTCAAATGCCACACTTAAAGCCACTTTTGGTCATAATTTGAGAGCTTCCATATGGTATATTAGCTCCAATTTCTTCCTTAAAATCAGTCAATTATAAACCAGTATCAGCCATTCTGGTACTTGTACTCTATACTATTTCAAAAAGCTCTTTATCCATTTTTAACAAGTGCAGGCGCACGTCAATCACAATCATTGGCCTGTTAAGACTGGTCCATGCTAACTTGATCAGTGCATTTCGAAAATGAATTCTCGAATACTCGATCAAGTCCAAGTTGGAATAATCAAATGCTAAGTTATTTGAAAATGCACAGCCCTAGCAAATTACAAAACGCTCATTTCTGTTTTGCTGTTGTTTTCCCTCAAGATAATCTACACCCTCCACAGCCTATTTATAAAAAAATAATCCCATCTCTGTGAGTAAAGATGCTGTTTCCTTTCTAAACGTTCAATTTCATTTGGTAATTTAACTAATTTATAACCAAGTTTCAGCCCAGATTTCTACACCTGTCCCCGGCCGAATATAGCTCCTACTTAATCGAGGCAATAATAGTCTCAACAACGAAGACAACTGCACAGAAACGCTGACCTTTCAAGAAAAAATTTACATTCTCAACGAAGAAAAAGAAGAAGAAAGAAACCAGCACCAGATGCAACCACTTGCACAACTGATTCTTATTCAGTTTATCACCCTAAGGCTACCGGTGACACAAACTGGAGTTGACCAACCGAACGTGTGCGTATTTGGACAAAGGATTCTTTTTTTATCTTATAGAATGACACTGCAACTATTCAATGATTAATGCCGACCAGGAAATCATGGCGAGTTATTTGACAGAAACTACATGTGTAACAATATTCAAGGAGTAGAAACTGCAGAAATGATTATGACAAAAGATAAAATGCTTTTTCTCATGTCAGAAGCATTTACGGTAGTTTACACGTGTGTTTAATTTTTAAAGAATTTTAGAAACTTTGTAATTTTGAATGGAAATAGAAATCCTAGAATATTGTTTTCTCGGAATATACAGCATTCACTGAGCTGAAACTTCATCAGGTTTACCGTAGTTGTTAAGCACATTTCTTTAGATTTTGAGCATGCACTTTTGTTGCTTCAAACGAAAAAAAATGCACAAATGACCAATGGTCTACCCTACCTTTAAAATGCGAACAAAATATTAAAACTAGACTGAGACAGAACACAAAATCAAAACAAAAAACTCGGCACTTACTGTTAACGTTGCCTTTCCTGCTTGTTTACCGTTATTATACAGAAGAGGTTTTTCTAACTTTTTGCTGGAAACAACCTGCAAGGGAAAAAAACAGGGAGTTGTCTTGACAAAAAATTACTTCCAGGAACTATATTATTCAAAATGTATGAGTAAAGCTTTAGAATCCTATGCAAACAAACACTTTGTGCAAAGTTGTCCTTTCAGTCAAAATCAGTCAAGTGACTATTTTTAACAGTTAAGAGCTCCCAGCCTACATCAAGCAGGACTGACTGGCTGTGACTGTTTATGTAACTTAATACAGTCATGCTTTGACTGTAGGTGATTGATAAGCCAGCTGTGCGTACCACTTGCCTGTTTTTGTCTGTTGACTGAATTTGACTAGTCATAGTGCTTGCTTGAAATATGATCTGACTGTGGGTGGACTAGCCTGTGTAAAAGGCATGGCAGGGGAGAAAATTGATTGTTTTTTTACTGTCTTCGACTGACATTCAAACAGCAGGAGGGTTTCTGAAGGTTGATTTTAATAGTGCTAAACAAAACTTAAAGGGAATATACAACATTTGCAAACATCGAAAAATAAAACTACCAAGTTTTTACGAAATACCTTACTAGGATGTAGGTAAATGACAGTCTTAAGCATCCTGTAAAATTATGACACCTGGTGTGAAGTCATTTTCAAGAAAATGGTATTTCTGTGTACATTTCCAAAGGTGGTCGGCCAACCACCGTTGACTACTTGAACATTTTTGTTTTTCTTGGTTTTTCCAGCATTTTCGAACACAAAACTTCAAACATATGTCAGTGTAACAATATTTGATCTATTATACTAACCCCTCATATAGTTCATTTCTGCAACTTACAGCAAAAGCCAATGATGTACATTCCCTTTAACGATATTTGAGTTTTTGAATTATCCATTTGTGGCAACTTTTAGATTTGAAATTTGAGGGTGAGCCTTGGAAACCTTTTGAATTTGATAAAGCATTTAATGTATACATGTAGGTGCTTCTTTATTAAGGTACGGTACCAGTACATACACTATGCACATGCACATATTCTCATAAAAAAAAACAAAGACCAACTGCACAGAAGAAACAGTCCTGGAAATTTGAATCTTACTTCTTTTTTTTAATGAAAAGAAAAAATAAATATGCATGGTACAAACATGTATACTGTAACCGCTTCACATAGGAATATCAGTTTAGCCAAATTAACTGTGAATTTTTGTGCCGCTCGGCTAAATTTGGCTCAGATAATGACTTGGATTATTCAATCTTCCAGCCAACTGAGTCCAGCTCCCATCATTCAGCGTGCACAGATATAGTACGTTGCCTCCCTCACCCCTCATGAAGAAAAAAAAAAAATAACCGCGATGATAAGAAAAGAATCAGGAGACAAGAATAAACAATTAACTCTCGTCAAGTGCGATTTCCTTTTGGATTAGTTAGGCCAAGCGGATAAAGATTATGACGCAGTGGCCGGGCCGGTCTTGGCCTGAAGCTATCGTGGATGCCGCGTGCCTTATCGCCTTTCCCTACCTACCCCCCCCCCCTCCACGAGAAAGTAACCTTGGATCAATAGAATATCATTATTACAACAATTCTCTTCTCATAAACTCCCAGCGGCATTTCCACAGACCTACACGGGTAATAATAATGCTGCGCCGTGGGTGCATGGCAAGTACCGTATTTATGTCCGCGCTAGCTACCTATTGCTGGAATTATTTCTAGGTTAAAACGTTTTAATTTTTAATCCCCTTTTGGCTCCCTCTGGGCAGAATGTTGTAGATTAGTTGTCAGAAACACATGTTTACACACACACAGACACGTCTGTGCACCTAAAAGAGAAAAAAAGAGAGTGGACTGGATATGTAATTAAAAATAGATGAAGTGAGACTGGCTAAATACTTCCAAAAAAAGGCCTAAATACATCATTTTATAAGTGAACTTAATTACAATGCAGGAACGACATGTACATGTACACACGTACACATTATGTACATGCTCATCTACATACATTTTATTGAGATTGATGTAACTCGTGTCTACAGTTTTGGTATTTTGTATGGCTTAAACCATTTTGGAAGAAAAAATTCCGTCAAATACATGTTAGCATTAAACAAGAGCAGAAGCCTCCAAAACAGTAGAAAACTGGTTCTTTTCCTGCATGTAACTCTAAAAATAATTTTCAATTATTGCGGGAGAACATTTGCAAGAGTACTAGTACAAGTACAAGTACATTTTCATGATTACACATACGAGTACAAGTACCAAAAAAAGCACCCGAGTAAGGTACAAGTACTCGTACTACATACAACACTGATTGTTAAAGTGTAGGGCTAGGGTGTACCGGTACCAAATACCAATATCTGACTGTGCCCAGTTCTTTGTTTTTTTGGTTTTATTTACAGAATCCGCATTGAAGATTCTGACAGGACCTCAAAGGGTGATACAACTTTGTCTTGAGTGCAAAAATGTTTTAATGTAATTATTTTTCAAAATTTACTACTCTTTTCTTTTTCTGTATTGGACTAAGCTTCTCATTCAATCTGTACTTTTATGAATTCTACACTGGATTTTAGGAGTTTACAAGTAAATTTGTAAAAATCTGTTTTGATTCAGTGGGATGCTATACTCAATTAACCTATCACGGTAGAATCGCGTCAAACGCAGCTTGTGAAATATCGTCCAATTACCTGATATACAAATGGATGCGGAACGCGAAAAATCTGAGGCAAACAATCTGAGGCCAACAAAACTTAACGTACAAACATTCCATAGGGTTGTCTAAGGGGCGTGGCTAACTCACAAACGGCGATAGGTCAATCCTACAGGCAAGTGCCTGGGAAAAGTACCTGATAATGCCAAATACTGCGGTATTTTTGTGGCGGGTATACCTCGCACTCTCAAAATCCAACACCGCACAAGCCTACATCAAATTGTCTACAAGTTAGCTCCTACTGTTTGTACCCACCATTCCCAGAGTACACTCGAAGGCGCCAAGGAAGTCATCGTCCGTGAGGGATTTGCTCTTGTTGTCGATATCGTAGACCCCTATGCGCACCTTCTGGACTTCCTCAAAGCAGTAATCCATGACGATGCCCTTGGAGAAGGTAGGGTTCAGGTTGTTCTTGACTTGCTCCGTCCTGTCGACCTGGAGTCCGATTAAAATCAAACACAGACTAGTAAGTGTCATCCGATAGGTTTTACTTGAATACTGACCCTTACCATTTCAGATCTTCCAAAATCTATGGGGCTTTTTTTATTCACGAAAAGGCCAGTTCATTCCGGTACTTCATTTCATTAGCGAATTTGTTAGGGTTATGGCAAACATCACAAAGAAACTATACTCAAAGTACTCATACTCATACTCGTATTCATGGCAAAGTTACTCGTACTCACACTCGCACACATTGCAAAGTACTCATACTTATACTCATATTCATGACAAAGCACTTGTACTCGTACTCATGACAATATACCGGTACTCATACTCAAGGTAAAGTACTCATACTCATACTTGTACTCATGGCAAAGTACTCATACTAATACTCATATTCATGACAAAGCACTCGTACTCATACTCATGACAATATACCGGTACTCATACTCAAGGCAAAGTATTCGTACTCATACTTGTACTCATGGCAAAGTACTCATACTCACGTGTACTCGTATTCATGACCTCGTACTCGTATTCATGACCTCGTACTCGTATTCATGACCTCGTACTCGTACTCATGACAATGTACTCATACTCATACTCATGACAAACTACTCAAACTCATACTCATGGCAAAGTACTCATAGTCGTTCTTGCACTCATGGAAATGTACTCGACTACTTGACAATACTGCAGTCTGGTAACCTGTGTCAGTGACAAGCCCCCTTTAAGAAATTCATTCCATTCCATTTGAAATTGCATTTCCAGACCCTTTGCCAGGGGCAACCCATGATCATCTCATTTTTTTTGCTTGTAAGACAAACTAGGGATAAGAACGAGACGAGGAGGTTATTGTGCTATCGCTAAAGGATCAAACCTGCGACAGTCGGCCTTTTCTCGCGGTGCAGTGGTTTTGCACACACAACATTTGCCAGGACTGTATGTCACAGATCAAAGCTGTGTTTTATACCGTCCGTGATCAAATTACCAAGGCCCTAATTTGATCCATGATATGGTAGCGCTGCCGAGGCGATCCGGCTAATCTTGGCTGGAGATCACTTGACGTACATTTGGTAATAATTGAAAATGCACACATGTACATGAAGATAAGTAAGAATTAAGGCCGCTGGGAACAGATCCAGACCTAGTTACGCAGGAGTGGATCCTCCCTATTGCCCCCCCCCCCCTTCCTTTTTGTTCCATGTTTGCTTTTTTCAAACAAAACTAAAGAGTGTGATGCCTTGCGGGCACATACTTTGAAGACTTCTCCCTCATGCTTTCAAAAATAAGGTCTCCATGTACATGTACAATAACATCAAAAAATATTTACTCCCTTGGGGTAGAAGCAATACAGGTCTGAGGCCCCAACTCCCTTTGATATATTATGGATAGAATATGAGGTAGGAGCCTGTCTCATATTCTACCGGTACAATCCCTCTCGTTTCTTACTTTTTTGGTGCAATTTAAGAGTATTTCTTACGAATATCACATCGAAATAACACTCTTTTTGTAACTTTGTACGGGTTGATAAACTCAAGATTTGTGAACAGGGATACATGTATTTAGAACTTGCCAAACTTTCACTTTCTGTGAAATTTGGGGAAAAACTAAGTTGCTAGAGGAGGAAAAAAAATGTGCCAAGTTAGGTGCCATGCCACATCAGGGGGCATGAAATGGATACTGCATGAATGAAACTGATGCTCTGTCTTTTCACTTCAGCACTGAGGCACTCCTGTGTAAAGACCAGCTAATACTCAGCCCGAAAGCAAACGGGAACTGGACTTTGTGAAGTTTTCGTAAGTACTGCGAATTTGCAAAAGTTGAACCCATTTCAACTCTTACGAAGTTCGCAACGTCAAATTCACATAACATTGCGTTGGCTCCATGCAAAATGCCTTTAAAAAATGTCTTCAACATACACCCACTCGCCAAAAGTGATGACAGATAAATGTTTACCGCACAACTGAAGATGATTTATACAAGCTTTCCATACATGCCATATCTTGATGCATATCAATTATCATCTTGTAACTGTACAGGTACCTCATAATTCATGTTCAACTCACTAGTACCATAATATTCTACAGTACATCTTCAGCAACTTACATTGTACAGGGTTAAGTAAAAAATAAACGAAACCCAAATGTCGGGACTATTGTTTTAGTGGAGTTCAGCATGTAGCACTTTCAAAATCTAGGATATGAAAGCCCAATTCATAAGCTTTGTTTTAGTACAAGAATCATTCACATCACTCATGTACTTTTCAAGTTGCGGATTTTTAAACACAAGCACCATTTTAAAGTTCTGTCCACGGATCCCAAAAAGTTCAGTGTTCTTTCAGCAAAACCAAAACAAATCACACTGGATGTGTGTGAATTGTTTTTTGTTTTGCTGATAGAACGCACACCTTTTGTGTGATCCGTGGACAGAACTTTAAAACGGTGGCTGTGTTTAAAATTCCGTAACTTGAAAAGTATATAAGTGATTTGAATGATTCTTGCACTAAAAGAAAGCTTATGAATTGGGCTTTCACATCCCAGATTTTTAAAGTGCTACATGTAGAACTTCACTAAAACAGTAGTCCCGACATTTGGGTTTCGTGTTTTTTTACTCACCCTGTACATGTAAAATGTCCTAGGATGAATGGGGCAAAACTTGAAATTGAGCCAGATTTCAAGTCTAAAGCCCAAATATCTATATCAAACAGCACTAATTCACGAAAATTATTCCCGGTATTGGAACCAGTAGTGCCCTTTCAGTGACCGACTTGTCCAGTTAACATCGGGTACTGGAAAGTCAGCGTGGCCACTGAAGTAGGTAAAGATCGTATAACGCTGAGCTAGTAGGTAGTAGGCAAGCCTTCAACGCTGTGATGGATGGCAAAAAACTGAGAAAAAGGCGGAGCTAACACCCAAAGCCGAGTTGGCATGATTACGACAACTGTATAGTCGTGTGCCCTAACGTGGCGCACTTCGAAGCTTACCCAACTTTCCTCGTGTAGTGTTGCCAAACCTCTTTGTTGATAAACCTCAAATTCATGCAGTGAAATACTGGTACTTTTACCTTTTTAATGCTTGCTATTTAACCTCTGTGAACAATTTTGGTTTCATAAAATATAATCCGAAATGCAAAAACGGTCGCGTCCGGAAATTGGGCACAAATTGGCGGAGAGTTCCCTAACGTGGTGCACTTGAATAAATCTCAGAAAATTCCAAATTAACATTTAAGAATTTCTGTAAACTTAATAAATTCTGATAAATCATTATAACCTTTACTTACAAACCCAGCCAGATGTTTGTCAGAAAATTATTTTCTTATTTTTCGGGGCATTTTCAAAGGGTTCACTTTGCACATGAAAATAAAATCGGAAAATCACGCCAAAATTTTTTTTCTTTTAACTTTGTAACGGGTAAATGAACTCGCGATTTATTAACGGGAGTGTTTAGAACTTGATGAAATTTCACTTTCTGTGAAATTTCAGTTAAAACTTTTGCTCTAGCTAGGCGCTACAGGCGAAAAATAAAAGTGCGCCACGTTAGGGGCCGCCCAACGTTAGGGTACATCAACAATATACATGGCTGTCATAATCAATTCAAAATTAACCCTAACCCTAACATGCAATAAAAATCAAGAGCGGTGTAAACTTGTTGCATATTATTTCATTTGGCAGCCAACTCAAGATGCTTTTTTTCGCATCTTAGACGTGTGTCTTATTACAGCCGTAGCTTAAATTTGGACATTGACTTACCTCGACCCAGACTTTCTGCAGGGTGTCAAACACCATCAAGACAGCCACAGGATCCGACTTGGACGTGATGTCTTTGTCAGGCAGGTGCTTGCAGGCAAATCGCAGCTCCACCGAGTTGGACATCTTGGGTCCCAGGCCAGGTCCACTGCCGGCCATTTTGAACTTTTGGGCTTCTTGTTTTTATATAATATGCTGACAAAAAAGAAGGACAGAAATTGCATTGTAAATCAAATGGCCAACACTGAGGCATTGTTTGCGGCACAATATTCTTGAAGTTGTACCGGTTGATGGTACAAAATCACATGCAACATTTGGGCATGTGATCAGGGTTCCCAACACTTTATGAAAACACTTTAGGCCAAAAAAAAAATATTTCTGCTTCCGATTACATGGCATTTGAAAATAGGGTAGGTAGGTAGGGATTTTTTTTTTTTTTTGGCTAATTTTTTGTGTGTACAATCCTGCAGAGGAGGCATCTACATGTAGTCAAGGGTAAAAGGTAGAAATTGATGGTTTTGGGTGTTTTTTCCTCATTTTCCCCATAAAAAATTAGGGTAGGGGCTGTCAGAATAGGGTACCGGTAGGTAGGGAAACCGGAAGTAGAAGTTTTTTTTTTTTTGGCCTTAGGAACCCAATAACTTGCGAGTCAAGTATTCAATCACCCCATCTCCTTCAAGACCCTCCAAATGCGCATTCAAAAACCCCTCGGCACTGAGGAATTCTCACAGATAATGACTGCAATAAGTACAGCAAATAGGTGATGGTTGTGCCTTTGACGATACTAAGTATGGCATTTGGCACACAGTCAGAGTGTGTCATGAGAAAGGTATTTGGTTATAGGGCCATCATGGATTTGTCCTCTGAAAAAAATAAAAGTAGAGTAGCAAGCAATGGCAGACATTCTGAAAATTGTGCTTGTTATGCAATCTTTATGTTTTCAAAGGACTAATCTACGATGGCCCTGTAGCCAAATATCTTTCTTAAGACATACTCTGACTGTGTGCCAAATATCATGCTTGTATCATCAAAGGCACAAGCCCCCCAAATATTCCCCCTATCTGCCCCACTACAAGGCAGAGGTGGTTTTCCAAACCACGACTTTGTTCCAGCCTCCAGCTTCTTATTTTGACGGGGAGACAAAGGTCGAGCTATAAGGTCCATTTTGTACAACTGAACATCGAATCTTAAGGACTGTGTCTTTTGTAAATAACTTGAGTAAATATTCAATTATTCTAATTAGTTGGACCTGATCGAATACTCAAATATTCAAATTTCGCCCATCAAATTTAACACGCACCGACCTAAACTTGCCACCGATCGGGATTTGTATATATGTGCAAATTGACAAAGAGCTTATTAATATAATATTCAGAATGGCGGATCATGGAATGGCTGATTTAGGCCTAACTAATTTCAAAGAAGAAATTTGAGCTACCGGTATGGCATATTCCTTATGGAAGTTTTTAAATCATGCGCCAAAAATTGCCTTTCGACAAATGGGTGGCATGAAACCAGGCAACTTATAAGATTAAAACAACATCGTTGACGCTTTTTTATCATCTCCATAAAACTGTCAACATCATTCAAATATTTGAACTGTAAAAAAATGCCATTCGAATATGCTGATTGAATATTTGGTATGCTTGGCACAGCCCTACAGATCTTTATGTTATCAGGCTAAATATTACAGCGCACGTAAACAATGTTCATGTCTGTTCAAGAATTACAGGCTCCTATGGGATCCAGAGCTGAAGATGAGGCGGGAGATGACGCCGCATTTTCAAAAAAGTCTTCAGCGAGAATGGCAGATGCCTCACACTGCTCTCAGTCGGGCTCTCAGAAGGAAACAATTATCGTCAGCATTCCGAGCCTTGTTGGCTATTGGTTCTGACATTGATCAAGCAGTGCTACTCATCCTCAAGGGAGGAATGCTGAGCCTCGTCTCATACGTCAAACTCCTTGTAATGCAGGCTGGCATCTATTGGTTCAAGTGATGGTTGTAATACAGTAGCAATGCACATAGAGATGCTGGTCTGTCCACAAATAGTAGCTCAACAATTTGGTGGTATTTTCTTTTCATAACTTGGTTTACATGTAACTGAGTACATGTAAATCAAATTAGGTTTTGCCCTTCACCGACGTTTAAACACTGTATACTCAGTGTGTTACCTCCCGAGTGAAAGTTGGAAAAAATCACTCGGGTGGGACTCAAACCCACGACCTCCTGCTTTCTAGTGTAGATGTCTTACCACTCGACCACCGAGCTAACGGGATCGGTTGGCTGGTTCGAATCTGATGTACATAGCAGCGCGTAACGCATAAACTATTATAAGATGGAATTTTACGTCGGGGTGATATCAATCAAATTAGGTTTTTCCCTTCACCAACGTTTAAACACTGTATACTCAGTGTGTTACCTCCCGAGTGAAAGTTGGAAAAAATCACTCGGGTGGGACTCGAACCTACGACCTCCTGCTTTCTAGTGCAGATGTCTTACCACTCGACCACCGAGCTAACGGGATCGGTTGGCTGGTTCAAATCTAATGTACATACATATACATGTAGCAGCGGGTACCGCATAAACTATTATAAGAAGGAATTTTGCGTTGGGGTGATATAAATCAAATTAGGTTTTGCCCTTCACCAACGTTTAAACACTGTATACTCAGTGTGTTACCTCCCGAGTGAAATTTCTGTGGTGCGATTTGAGGCAAATTCTGACCACTTACATGTAAACCAATTTTTGTGAGCAAAAAATCATCGCTAACATTATTTTCGAGTTTAGAGTAATTGAATCAGCTTTTTTGAGCTGTAGAATCATGATGTTGGCTACAATTTTTATTCGGGGACGAAAAAAGTGGGGGGACAAACGATGCATGATATCCTCCACTTGGGAAAGTGGGGAGGGGCATCCCCCACCGATTTGACGCCCATGCATGTGCCCTTGGGCAAGGCACTGTGTTACTTTATTGCTTCTCCCACCCACGAGTAAGTGGGTACCTGTGAGGGCAGAGATGGTTATTGTGGTTGACTTTAGCTGCTTTGCGCCAAAAATGGCAGCATCGAGCAGTGTACTCCATAAGGAGCTAAGATTGTCTTTGGAATGTTTCATTGGCCCAATGAGCAACGCAATAATGATGAAGCGCCTTGAGCATCAATACTACCCAAAATCAATATTTTCAGCTCAAAAATACACTTTACCACAGTCCATCTCACTGGCACACCACTCAAATAAAAGGTCTTGCTGTCCCCTTTTATTTGATACGAAATTTGAGGCTGTGAAGCTTGCGGTTCTGAAGATTTCATAAATTGTCCACTTTTCAGCCACTTTTGCGTGGAATTGCCCATTTTGCAGCTCACGCAAATGTCAAAAGCAAAAACGTACCATTTATATCACATTTTATAGACAATAATGTGTATAAAGTGCACATACATAACATGAATAATATGCAAATGTTGGTGCTTCGTTTCCTAGCTTAATGGGCCCATAAAACATTTCTAACTACTAGACCATTTCAGCTCCCTGAGGATTACGCAGCTAGCTCCACGTTGTCATTTCAGTTTAATAAAAAAAAAGGGGCATTTCAAACACAAATGTTACGATAATTTAAATTTACGACGGTCTTGCAAGTTCCTCGGGTAATTTTGTCAATCTGGCTGTGTTATTCTGTTGTGATTTAAACAAATCTGCAGTTTCTTAGGCAAGGCACTTTATGTCCACTTGCCAGCAGTGCAGCTTAGATCTGTAAACAAGGATTTTGCAAGATTCTTTCTCTTCAAAGTACGGTACCACAGGACATGAACATATGCATCAGCATTTGTTTCAAGAGGGCCACGGGGACAAGTTATCATTCACACTTCGTTTACTGCCATTGGCCAAATATGATACAATGTACGTGTACAATTTAGTCCATGTACCGTACGTGTACAGTATTCGTGTACCGGTACATGTGACCCCTTTCATGGTGCGCCCTCCCTGAGGGCGGTTTTTGTTATTTCAATTTACTGACAATGAACATCACAGAGGTACAATGTACAAAGACCTGCCTTCAGTGATGTCAGATGCAAAAAGTCTATGTACATGAACATGAACATGTACTGTATGTAAACTGTACAGACGTCTCTAATAAACTCATCCAGGATAGGCTGAATTAAAGAGGTTGTGGAATGCTCGCAGACATTTCCGTCATTTTTTCGGGTATACGTGTATGTAGCCTAAGGTGTGATGAAATAGAAACGACTATTGTGTCTGTCATGAAATGAGTACAAAAGGTACTTTTGAGAGCTGTTTTTCAGGTCCTGTTTCGACCCGAACGTGCAATTTGTGTAAAAGTCATCATTGGGGGCAGCAAACAAAACATAGTAAATCGTGACGTAATAAACAGGACTCCCGATGCAGCGTAGTATAAACGAGTCCTGTTTATAACGTCACAATAAATGCACAAATGACAAATGACACATTTACTCTACCTTTAATGTTAAGGTCTATCACCCTAGTATCAGTATGCAACGTTTTTTTAGAATTTCTTAAAAAAATTGAGCCTTTACACTCTAGTAACTGCACCTGCAGCCCTGAATCCATTAAAACATTATAAAACCAGAGGTTTTGGGCTGATTTCTTCTTGTTCTCATTCCCATCTGGTTCCCATAAAGAAAGCACACATTGTCAACAAAGCCTGATGTCATTACGTCCCAGATCATTTAATATACTGGTCACTTTCAAAAACGTGCCAGAATACTACGGAATCAAAGCCTGATATGCCCAAGAAATGCGTTGGTCTCCCATTATTATCTTCAACTCCCCTTCATTCAATTTTTAAAAAGGCCCAAGCCTGTGCGCGGAGCGACAAGCGGTGTTAACAATGTGCCAACCCAGTTTGTAGCCAATGAATAAATTAACACATTTTTGAAATAATCTTCTCCCCGGGAGCTTTCACGACTCTCCACCGTCGGGAACGCTCCAGAACGACGCGGCAGAACGCGGCAACTCGTCGTATGGTCTGGTTACATGCGACAATGAGATGTTCCGCCACAGATAATCACTATATATTGTATGCAACGGTAAAATTGGATTTTTGTTTTGGACGTAGCAACTGAATGGGAAAAATAATATTACAAATGCAGATAACCGAACCATATGTTTATTGGAAGGAGGTGACAGAGTCTGTTGTGCCATTGTGGTTTAAAGTCAG